TCGATCCATGGAATCTACGCCTGTCTTCGTAACCCTCTCCCCCTTCCCCCAAATCCCCGCTATCGTAAAACCCAAAATAAGGTATTTACGATAAAACCCAAAGAACGATATACCCATTGAGTAAAAAGAAAAGAAATGGGAAAAGAAATGAAAGAGAAAGAAGGAAAAGCAAAGGATAATGAAAATCCGTATGACACAGAGACCTAATCATTCCTCTAGCTTTCTTAACGTAACAAGGGATGAAGACAGAAAAAATACATAAAAAAAATGTATAAAAGATAACTTGCGTAATGTGGCCAACTGTTGAAAGAAAGATTCTAAAGAGAATCTATAATGTCTTCTTGTCACGTGCAGATTCCCATCACGGTGCCCCCCCACTTCCCCAGACCCATCGCCGTCATTGCCATCAAATTATTATCACGCAATCACTCTAGCATTTTTTTTCTAAATTTTTATTTCTCAACTGCCGGCTGTAGCTAGTGTGTCTCTATCCTTTCCAGATTTCCCACGACTTTGCATCCGTACATCGGCGAACAAACGCGAAGAGGGCAATCTTATTCGAAACTCTCGACAACTTCTGTAACTTTGGCACCTCGCCACTTAGGCGTCCGAAACGTACCAAGGTGAGTGTTTGTCGTTGATGATAAATCTCTGAAGATTTTAGTGAAAAAAGTATTGCATGAATTAGGTAGGGCATCTTTATTTTATGCAAGTGTTGATTAAGTAAAATCATGATCGGTCTTTATTTTTCATGTACTTCTGCAGCATCTCCTCGAAGAAGAGTGGTTGACCGTAGCTTGTGGCAGGACTCCGGATCAAATAGAGATGACCAGGGCTGCCCGACATTATCTCAGCATCAATGGAGTTCTCACAGACCGAACGCGTACCCTTAACTTCTGAGAGGAAGATATCAAAAGTTTCTACTGCAAAGATGTTCAATCCTGACAGTGTGTTCTGGATATAAGGTTACTAATTGGTAATACGTTGTCCATATGAAATTGTGTCCTACTTTGATAATGTAGTGCGCACTGTTGTGTTGAGTGGAGAGAAACAAGTCAACTAGTCAGAGACTCGAATTGAAAACGGGTTAAGAGAAGAACAAGTGGCGTTAGGGTTGGGGTTTACGTCTATCGTTTTCTACTATTATTATATGCATTCTTAGTACACCCAGCGAGAGGGAACTCAATAACGAATGCTACTGTATCGAAGGAATTTTGGAAAACGAGAGCCAAAAATAGTAGAGCTAGGTGATTTTGTAGAGAAATCGGTGAACGATCAGTGGAGTATTACGAGTCTTCGTGTTCCTGGGGAATAGAAAGAACTTGAATGTGCCAGTTTCGCGTTCCTGAACCGTCTTGATGGGACATTTCCTTCCTCTGATCTTTCCATGCCATGAGACACCGTGCAGCGATTTTGTGTGTCATTGCTGAAGGTGTTCATCTGGATAGACTATAGTGGGATGGCTTCTTCTGATTAGAGTATCTGTCACCAAATGGAGGATGTCAGCCATGTCGTGACGCTTTTTGTACGTATATGCGTATGTTTTTCTTTTCTCTCTTTTGTATCGACACACTAATAAAGAAGAGGAAACGACGAACGAAAGAAAGTGAAGAAACTATAGCCGGTTTATTTGATAGAATATTATATTATAATATAAAACATTATTGCGGCCGTTATGTACAAAGAGCCTTTTTTTGTAATTTGTATTTAGTTTACAAGTGAACAATAAAGTGATAAAGATCACACGTAATAAAGATCTACAAGAGTGGAAGTACTTTTATACGAAGGGACGTCTAGTAAGTACTGAGTTTCACAGAACCCGTGAGTTTGACTTTACTAAATCAAAAGCATCTATACTGAATTTTATATATATCTAAGAAGAAGATACCAGTGGAAATCATAGATTAGATCAGGTGTAGGAGAGAAGAAAATGCTTCATTACGTATTATTTAATCTCAAGAAAAACAAAACCAAGTGTCGTGATTCATACCCTAAACAGACTACGCGCGCATAACACACATTCTTGTATATATATATATATATTTATATATGTATATTTCTTCATATGTATACTTATTTTTATAAGTAAGTTGCCTGACTTTATTGTATTAGACGTCTTGTCGTTTCTTGTCGACTGGAATGGCTAAAAGAATGTTCTAATGCTCATTTTATAATAATGAATATAAAGCAACAATAATCATGTTCGTTCAGGTAAATGCTGCGCCTCATTCGGTGTTTCAGAAATATCACCTTATGCCAAAACAATAACTGAGTAATGGAATGCATGCAGCAATCTCATATTTTAAAGCCATGAAAAAGTACAATTTTAAATTAGCTTTAATTTCCTCCCTCCCCTCCCCCTTTTATGTCTGGCCTTTCCAGCCACAGTTTGTACAATATTACGTGCCACGTTACTGTAGATTTTTTCATTTAGCAACGTCACTCTAAATTCGTGAGGGCACACCTTGTCTGATGAAGGGAATGCATTTCGTACAGACTAACTTTTTTTTTGAAATCTTGTGAGCGGCTGAAAAACGAAATTACTAAGTTAAAATGTTCCTCCAATTCTTCTACTGTGAACTCTGACCCTGAGAACGTTCTTCATCACCTGTACTGCTACCTGCTGCCACATCCGGAGATTCTGGATCTGCCAAAGATAGTTATAATACTCGTTTAGGTATTGCTTGATTTTAATTTTTTTATAGATAAAATGTGTTTGTACTTTATTAGTAAATTACCTGGGCAGGGTGATCCTTTAATCCTGCATGTATTATAGCTGCCGCAATTGAGACACTTGAGACCCACAACGTGAAACTTTACTGTAGACTCCTAAGAATACAAATGAGAAAATTTTTCATGAATATCAAAAAACCTTTCTTTATTGCTACAGAATATATTCTTGTGTTCTTTGAGTGCAAACCTCATGACAGTCCTTGCAAAGAATGTCTGCCTTGTAATCTCTGTACTCTGGTGGCATAGGTGTCATTGAGACTTCATTATCAAGGAATCTCCAGAGATCTGTCATGTCAAGTAGTGATACCTGACACGTAGGGCATGCATAGTGTCCTGAATGCAGGAGTTCCTCGAAGCAGGTGCGATGTAGCAAATGGCCACAGTCAGGAATATGACAAGGAATGCGACTGGTGTGAATATCCTCTAAGCACACCGGACAATTCGCGTGTGAGACGTTTTCCACGCACTATTGGAAATATTAACAGGTATCTCATTACTTTCCCCTATCTGGAAACATCTATACTCTATAATAGACGTTATTGTGTTCTGCTCCATGCATTTTTTTACCTTATGACCGTTTTGCAGCTGCACCGGGAGGCACATATTACACTTTGCGCAATGAAAAAATCTATCACGACCACCGACTCTGCAGATCCCACATCCGTCACAGTGGTACTGATTCTTATCCTCATCATCAAAGAGGTTACACTCTAGGCATGTATATTTTCCAAAACGACAGTGACATTTTTGGCATGTGGCCTGGACAGGCTGACGAGTGTCACATAGCACGCAGATCAGCTCTGTCACCTCTTTCCTGTTTACAGTATGCGCCTCTTGCTCATCGTGACAAAATCTGCAGGTGTATACCTTGTTGCAGCATGGTGTCTATAATGAATATAAGATTTTTAAATAGTATGCAAATTGGTATTTATGATTGGTTTCACAGTATGAATATCATTAAAATTATTTATATATATGTAATGACAAGTACAGGGTGTATTATATTAATGCAGATATAATAATAAAATCGTGAGCGAGAAAAAGGAAAAATATTTTACACAAAATTGTAAAAATAAAAATTAGTTTTGCATGCAAGCACTGTCAGGACTGTAATATTCCACTCTTTTCTATTGTTTTGATACTATCTTTATACGTACGATACGAAAATGAAATATTTTAACTCAGTCACTTAGTTTCTTATCGAAAAATCGACCCCTTGTTGTATATGTTGAAACACTATGTATGCATAAGAATACAGTAAGGCATTATTGATCTGTTTCGTATAAGGAGCAAATATACCACCCACACATGTGTACTCATGCGTGGCGGCCATGTCTCTAGATTGAGGTAGGGCCAAGGTTGTACGCGAATTATCAGCAAATTATTGGTAAACTAGCCTAGTGACCTTCTACAGGAGAAAGTGGCGCGTGCATTTATTTTGGCAATGACTAAAAATGCAAGTGAAATCAGCGGGTTCCCGACTTGCGACAATAAAATAGTAGATGGTCATTGAAAGACTACGGTGCTTAACCACTAGGTAGCAAAGCGGCAATTGTAAGAAACGTGATTAACCATTCAACGACTGTATACTATCACGTACAGACTACATGTTTTTTTAATTCGTTTATTACAGCTGCTCTGATGTTGTTTGTATAATCTCTCTATCCCTCTTTCTTACATTCTGTATTTGATTGTGCATACACACTTGTTCAAACCCAATAAAAGATGTTTATAAATTGTCAATAAAGGCCCTGCATCTAATATTTTGATAGCCAAATTTATGAAAACTTAAAAGTTCAAAATAATAGTGCAGGCTCATTCCAACCTATAATATTAAAGAAAAATAAAAACATGAAGTTGATATACTTGCTTACCACAAATTTCGACTTCCTTTTGTAGTGTGCACATCCATAATTTTCATCAGGATTTTCAGCCTCCAGATCCTTAGTGGAAACTGCTGGATTCTCCTCGTTGTCATCATCGACAACCGTGAGAAGGTGCTTGTCATTGTTCTTTTCCATCTCAGTAGTGCGTATATATGTATATGCAACTGTCTTTCAACTTATATGTATATATATTGTAAATATGTGTGCTCTGAGTGTGTGTGTGTATATATATATATATATATATATATATAAATTGATGTCTATCGCCTCCTATCGTCGTCCGTTTCAGCCAATTAGTACTGATCGTCGACGCTATGGGTTTGCCTTGAAAATTAACGCCCTGGACGTAGGACGTTAAATTGATGTCTATCGCCTCCTATAACTTATATGTATATATATTGTAAATATGTGTGCTCTGAGTGTGTGTGTGTATATATATATATATATATATATATATAAATTGATGTCTATCGCCTCCTATCGTCGTCCGTTTCAGCCAATTAGTACTGATCGTCGACGCTATGGGTTTGCCTTGAAAATTAACGCCCTGGACGTAGGACGTAGCGCACGGTACACCAAAATCCAGCGATCTTGTCACCTCGCGAATGTTTTCTACGAGGTGCACCAGTTTTTTCAAAATCTGTGTCTCTCCAGTCTCCGTTAGTCTTTTTCTCGATCCGCCTTTTCACCTAAAGCTCACTCGGAGATATCCTCTTCAAGGCTTCCCACTTCGTGCACCTTCTACTAGTACAGTTTATTTATGATTCCACAAGCAGATGATTGACAGTGTGAATATTCACTGTGTAAGAAAAGCTGAGCACGCGACTAAGTCGTGACAGGCGTGAATGAGACATTTCAGGAAGAGGAGAATAAAGATTGAAACGTAGTAGACTCGTGAGCTTCGATCGGTCGACAAAATACTCGACGCATTTTACAACTCGTAAACGAGGAGTCTTACCGAAATTCAAGCCTGCGCCTCCCGATTCTCTACACAGTTATATATCTATACCTTCTGTAGGTAATTCAATGTGTATTCTTAATACAGTCGTAACTGAATTATCCTTGAGGAATATGTATTTCGGTGCACGTTCGGTGTTGATACTTGATGAATTATAACAGCACGGATAGTAATGCTACCTCACAAACAGACTCCACGATTTACTTGCGACAGACGACGTACGGCCACAAGCCGTACGGACGGAAGTTGTCTCTTGGGCACGTCTGCAATTGCATGATACAAATAAACGAGGTATAGTCACCAGCGGTTCTGCGCATTTGAACAGTGACGTCACTGGAGTCTCTCTTCTCCGTTAGCTGACTTTACGTATGTGTGTAGTTGCGCCGCACATCAGACCATTTTGAGAGGCCATTTCCTTACGGAACGAAACGTAAATGAGTGCGCTCAAAGTGAAATTGATGCCGCTTTAAACCCTGCACGTCATTAGACAATGCGCGATCTCGACCAAAATAGGATCGCTAATGGCTATACCTTGTCCATTTGTATCATGTGCAATTGCACTTCCGGAGTGACGCGGGAAAATTTAAATTCCCAACAACATCCTATTATTATTATTATTCTAATACGGTTATATGAAATAATGATTTATGAGTTTTAAGTTCTTTTGCATTCTGAAATATGTTTTTATTCACTTTGTATACGAAAGCAAAATATTTGCGATTTATTGAACGTGTATGTGGTTAGGATATTTTTTAAGGTATGTTGGGCTCCTTTCCTGAGTTAGTTAGCGGTTATATTACATAAGGTCTATTCGTGCAAGCGTTTTTACGTACTCCAGAACACTATAGGTATGTTCGAAAATGAGCCGAGAGCGCGGAGGTAGCAGAGGCATGGTAAAAACTGAAAACGCTTTCAGAACGGGTAACTATAGGTACATATCAGTATATGTATACACCCTTTGTGGGCGCAGAACAATATGGCCGTCGTGCTGCGAGCATTCGTGTTACGTGGTTACGAAATATCAGTATTTTAAACAGCTTATTTGGTGGAGTTTCCTTGTGGCATATAAGGCAAATTGGTGATACGTGTATATGCGAATATTGTGATTTATTGCGAATGTCGATGCTGAAATGAATCTTAGGCGCGGCATGTATGGCGCCGCGCGAAATCTACGCGATAGGAAATCGCAGCTCGTTCCGTACGGGCTCCGCGTTAATACTATCACGGATTAATAATCAATGGCTATATTTGAGAAGAAATATACAAATAAGGTGCTCCTAGATGACACGGAGAAGCTCACAAGCGTCATTGAAAATGCCAGGAATATCGACGGGCACACGGTATGTCGTATGTTACTATTATTTTTCTGATTAATTATTTATAGTATGGTGCAACTTTGTTTTTAATAACAATTAATCGTGACTCCGTTTCACTGAGTGTGGACTTGCGATTAACATTTATTTGCTGATATTTTATATTGGAACAATATTGCATTTCATGTTTTACTCCAAAAGAAGATTGACTTTCACAGTGATCGAATTATAGGGATTGATAGGAACACATTGCTCCTCTGTTTCCCGTCTGGGTAAAACTGCCGAATATGGCTCCTTCTTAAAGAGCTTTATCTACAAAAACTAACAATCCACAGTGAACTTCAAGAAGGTGTTGTATTCTATAGTTTGGCGTCTATTTGTTTCTATCCTTGATCGTGTTTACTGAACATACTTTCACATTGACTGTATATACCTTGTATACATATAATGTATATATATTTCAGAAACATAAATAGAATTAAAGGCAGTTATACTTAATAAAATCCTAGTCAGCTGTCACATATGTTAATAACTGTGTATCTAAATAGTATCTATTATTTTTTGATAATAATTTATGAAATACAGGAATGCATCACGAATAACATTATAAGAAAGACTACTTTCTTGGTATTACATTATGTTTATACAATGTTCAAGAAGATATATTCTTGAATTTTTAACAATTGTATTAGTTGAGTTGTAACTATAACAGTGTTAGGGTATTTTTCTAAAATTGATTATGATTTTGAATTAACTGTACTTTCAGGAATATGTGATCAGGACACAAAGAGGTCCACTGCCAAAGAAATCGTGGCGAGTTAGCAGACGTTACAATGACTTTGTCCAGCTTAATGGGGCTCTCTCAATATCAGGCATCAATCTGCCACTGCCCCCAAAAAGAATTATTGGCAATATGGAGCCAGACTTTATAGCTCAACGGCAAATAGCTCTGCAGGTCCGTTGGATTCATAAAGTAATAAAGAACATACATTAAAGACACTTCTTAAAAAGCTGAATAATAATACCTTTTTTCAGAATTATCTAAACGTATTACTAATGAATCCCATACTGGCGTCATCGCTGCCCATGAAAAAGTTTCTGGATCCTGAAAACTACACGGCACCATTGCACGGTACATTAAGCTATACAGATTCTTAGAAAAATTGATAACGTTATCACGACTTCTCTGCAGAAATCGCCCTGCAACAGGTGTCATTGGCACTGCGTAGTGATGCCAACTTCGAAGTAGGAAAGGCCATTCCTGATATGGGATGGCGGTTAAGGAAACATTACTACACTGTAAAAAATCGTCAGAATCCTAAGCAGGAACTTTTGCTCGCTTGGGTTGAGTTCGGTCCTGACAAGCATCTGCAGGACAAAGATATCCAGGGTGTGTTCAAGAGCTTGGGATCTCTACGGCATCCGCATATCGAGCCCATCGTCCATCAGCATGTCACCGATAATGGAGCTTTGATGATCAGGAACTTCTACGCGGAAGGTACATTGCGTGATGTCCTCTGTCACACCAAGCCCAAGCAGCCCTTCATCAAGAAATATGGGAATCCAAAGCAGACAAAATCTCTTACCATTTCTGAGATTGTTAATTATGCCTACCAAGTAAGCTTCCTTTCACAAGATATAGTTTTTCACCCTAAGGATAATCCATACCTCATGTTTTCTGTATCACCAGATTCTCCAGGCTTTAGGCTTTCTACATGAGAAGGGATTGCCTTACGGTCATCTGCACACAGGAAATGTTGTCATTACATCGAACGGTGCAAAGTTATTAGACGTGGAGAATGGACTCTTGGGACTGCCGGCTTTTTATCGCCCATATGTGGTGCAAAGACGGAAGCTACACGCAACGGTATGTTTTCTGAATGGGACAGTTTCTAATCTAATAAAGAATCAATTTTAAATTTATATACTTCATTTTTTTTAGACTCAAGTAGATGTTTACGCCTTCGGGCACGTGCTTTACGAGATGTCTTTTGGACGACCCTTACTAGAAGCTACATGTTCAGATTTACCCAATTGTGATTCTAATCTAAAGAATCTTCTCGAAGTCATTTTGTCGCCGGAGGCATTGAAACAGGATTTACCAACAGTTGCCCGACTCCTGGAGCATCCATTCTTCGAATTAAGTCGGCGCGCGCCTATTAGCGTTGGTTTGCTCGAAAAACCGCACTGTAAGCTAAGCAGTCATCTAAAAGAGGCTCTGTTAGAAGCGATCAACAAAGCAGAGTCGAGGTTACGTGATGAGCAGAAGGTTGCACGGCATCAAAAGAGACTGGTTAAGGTTCAGGAGATGATGAGTTCGGAGGAAGAGATGAAGAAACGCAAGCAAAAATTGGTAGGCTATTCACTTCTCTGGGAGAAAAACTTTTAAAGAGTGTAAACCACAAAGGAATCACTTCCATAAATATTTTTCACTGTATCATTAAATATCCTTTATAGAAAAAGGAGCAGAAATTGGCCCAAGAGCAAAGAACATCCAATCAGCTGGGTACGAATGGAACAAAGCAAATGAATGGAAAAAGTCCGGAGCGTTCGGACAGTCCTACGAGTACATCAACAGCTACGAGCGTTGGGACGCTGACACCGCCGTCTCATGGTAAGGGAATCTTCATTGTACTTCATACAGCATAGCATTTCGTTAATTCATCATCTTCAAAGATAACATAAACTAAGAACTTTAACGAGGAACCAAAGAACCTCTGATCATCTTCGTTTATTTCGACCAGCTGGACACAGAAGTTGATGGCGCGTGCTGCGTTCATTAATTTCACGTAGGTGCACAGTAAATTAACAATAATTGTACAATAAACTGCATGCTATTTCATTGTCCATAATCCCAGTGTCCCATTAGAGAAACGGTCATTTCATGTTCCTTAGTAGGAATAATTATTGATACCAGACCCGCCTGGAAGCATGAAAAACTCATGTCTTACAGTCAAACAAGGCCTTTAAAATTTTGCATGTCAGTAGAACATGAAAGTTGCTTTGTTCGAAGGGTCGACGGAATTGCAAAGCAAAACTGCGGCACCACCACCACCGCCACCGCCCCCAATGCTGGCGAATGTATCTACATCATCATCGACGACTGGCACTTCCAAGAGCATACCAAAATCCGCGAACGAGCGTACTGCTTTATTAGGAAGCATCTGTAACTTTGATAAAACTAACCTTCGCAAGGTCACCAATGGAAACCACTAGGATACCTCTAAGAGGATACTGTTGCCATATCAACTGAGACTATGCGTTCACTCTTTGTACAAGTTCTCTAGAACTACCCGGAGTAGACTTCTAGTTTTCATTGGAGCTTCAGGTGAATTTTGTGAATCTTTATATAATATAACATGGACAGAGTCATGCAACTGCATGGTGATGTCTTATCTGAGTAATCGCAAATGGAGTAGGCGTATACGGTATTATATTTCAACCAATGAAGGTCGAGATTAAAAATCTGACAAAAGAAAGCAAAGAAGCTGATGAGGAGTAAAAGGCTATAACCTCCTGTATATAGGTAGCCACTAAAGAGGAATGTTTAATAACACGGGTAGGCAACGTGAGATAAAGAATTTAAGAAATGAAATCATATCTTGTTTATGGCTGTAATATACATATGTCTATTTAGTATTGGACCGAGTCAGGGGATATCAATGATTACGTAACGCTTGTGAAAAGAAAGACACACTTAGAGGATATTCTGCTTTAAACTCCTCTTTTGTTTAAGCGAATGATTCCTTAGTTAATTATTTATTCACTGTGCTGCATTCCCCTTTCGGCCTAAGAGAACATATTTATACATACATATGCATATATTATAAGATAAAGTCCAATTATCTACGTTAAAATTCTTTAATACGCTATCAGTCTCTTTACATGCGTATTATATAACAACAAAATATACAAGATGCAACAGTAAAAAATAGATAAATAACATCATTAAAACTAACAATGACCTGATGAATTCATCGTTACCTTAAGACCTTCTATTGGGTCTTGACAGATGATTAGCTGACAGTACCGCGGAAGGCGATAATGTTAGTAATAAAATAGGTAAAACAAAAAAAAAGTGATAATGTCGTAGAATCCTGATTTTTGTGTCTATTAGGATTTTATTAAGCCACCATGAACCTTCGTTACGTGATTGTTACACATAAAGTATAATAAATCATGTGCTTGCCAGGATTAGAAATCCGTGCACACCAAGGAGAGATTCGTGCCAATACATCATGCTTGCCGATTATTTAATCATTCGGCTCTCGTTGTTTAAAAGTATGATAAAAATGAAAGTACACAGTACACGTACTTGATAGTATTAGGTATGATAATTTCTAATATGACAAGCTACTGTAATGTGCTGCTTGCTGTACATCTTGTTTGTGAATATCTACGAAAAAAAGAATGAACAAAGAGACAAATATAACAAAATTAAACTGTGTAATATGATTACGAGTCCCAGAGTCATACGCTTATATCCGCTTATTTCGCAGTGTCCGTGTGAATTAAAAATATTTCATAAGAACATACATAACAAATTAATGTCTTCAACTGTCTTTCAGGACAGTAAATACTGAATCTTTAACAGGACATTATCATTATAAGGGACAAAATGCTAAATAAGCAAAGGTAAATTGTCAAATAGGATGGTAAGAATGAAAAAGAATGAGTGTGACAGATCGTGATAAAAGACAAGGCATTTTAATTTGTGGTTATACTTATAATAAATACAAGCTATGGGCTTAATAACAACCC